ATGTGCTAGGTCAGCGTTGGTGTAAGACCTGATGGAACGAAAGCTTGAAGCTATGAATAGTTCGGCTAGCTGCCTGGATCGTTCGACTTCCATTCATCGTCATGAATCCGTTGTCTTCCATACACACTCTTACTCGTGGAAAACATCGTCAAGTGATGCGTCCTGCTGGTCTTCTCGACAACTGGAAAGCGGTTCTCATCTAGCTACCTACCGAAAATGCTGACACATGCTTCCATGGTTCCGCTGGCCGCTGTGCATATTTCAATAGTTTCGAGGGGCTTTCTCGATGAGTTTGAATCACGGTCTTTTGGGAGAACGTAATGCTAAATACGATACCCCGTTTGCTACACGAAATTCTGCACCAACCTGTTGAAATCCGCAAATGCCGAGGTCAGTTATGCCGAAACCAGATTCTCGATCAGCACAATAACGTATAAGCTCGAAACTTAAGTCGAAGCAATGGCCGTCGCGACCGGCCAGCAGACCGTCTCTGTAATCACAATCCCTGAGCATCGGTACGACCACAGCCGCGACACCCGTTTCGAAATGAGACTCCGCCGTGAAAGAGGAGTAGACAGCTGGAAGCCGGAGGTCAACGTACAGAAACATCGTGCGCCGAGTTTGTTTGCCTATTGGGGTTTCCTGGAGGGCGGCCGGGAGGAGGCCATGGTAGATCGAGAGTTATGACAAGGTTTCGACATGATATCTTATACGAGAGGGCTCGGCAGCAGGATCTACTTAGAGGTCATCTGGGTTAGATCTCCCCAGCCTACGCGGGATCCCAAGCAGCCACAGTATTTTGCACATGTCGCTTCCCCTCTCGCGAATATTCTCAATGTTTGTGAAGCGTCAAACTGCTGTAATGGGCTTCCGCAGACCTCTGGTAACGGCGGCAGCGACTGGTTCGCAAACACAAATGTGGGGCTAGGATGGCAAACGATAGTGCGAGTGGCAGCGTGCAATCAAGAGCTACTTGAAGATATACATAATCGGCTTCTACAGTGGCCATGATCTCCTGATGCTGACCATGGTGGTTGGTACACAGCAAGAACGACTTTGAGCACAATCTGTGTGGGCCAAGTTCAGAGAGACGAAGTGTCTTGGAAAGAGGAAGCAACAGATGATCGATTTTGTCTACAGGACGCTGATAACGAACTTCTTGAAGGATATTGGAAATCTCAGGTCGGTCGTAATAAGGCATTGGAGGCATTGTGACGCTCATCAGGCCCGAAGGGTTCGCTGCGACATGGCCTGACCAACCGACGGCCGTCGTAAGATGAGGCAGTCACATCATCGTAATGGTAGATGCCGCGATGTCGAGTAGTCGAAGAGATCAAGGCGCCGGAACCGGCTGACGTGCGGCACATCGTGGAGGAGCCGAGTACCCAAGGTGACTTCCCATCTATCATGTTGCCTAACGTTTTGAATTGGTGAAAGTAGAGTGCTATCCCTTTAAGAGCTTCGGACCGAGATTGTCGGCCATCATTGGGTTCCGTCCCCAAGACTATTCCCAGCGTATGAGAGTGGCGGTAACAACGAGTCTATAGACGTCTTGATTTTTTTCACATCCTCGTTGATACGCCCGAGTCTAATACCGTAAGAAATTGCGCTACATGCATGTAGTGGAGTCAAGGTAACTCACTGGTTGTTCGTGGCGCCAACTGTTTCTCGTTGGGATTCTTCGGCCTTTTTGAGTCTGCGGAGGCTGTTCTTCAGCCGCTCTAATTGCTCTACAATTCTTTGCCTATTTATGATTAGTACTTTGATACACCGTTTGGAACTATGCCTACATGGGCAAATCTGGCTGTACGCTAGACAGCGTGCGACTTTCGAGAGAGCTATTTTCGGCCTGTCCTAAGCT